GGGGGGGGGGGTGGGTGTGATCTGTAGCAACACATAAACAATATCCTTGTACACAAAACTGCATTGTGTTGATCCCAGCAGAGGCTCTGTTAAGAAATTTTCACCAAGCCCACACCATCGTCTTAATATTTCACATCAAGCAGATTGACACACTTTACCTTGTATATTTTTTCCTTTTGTTTACCTGTTTTTAATATTGTGTGCGTTTATTTCAAAATGGCAGAAAGAAATCAAACATCTATATCGACAAAACGCAGTTCATCTATGGAAATTACTTTTAGTGTCAAACAGAATAATTCCTACCCGTTGGTTGTGTTAATATATGTTTCCACATATGCACAGTCTCGTGCACACGCATTATACAGAATAATTCACAGGCATGTGTGATGAAGGAGGGGGTGAACAAAGATTCATCTGTACTTTTGTTTACATAAATCAATCCATAAATACATAAAAGCGCGGGCAAACAAAATAACATCTTCAATACAAAAACGTATAACTCTGAAACTACCACACATGGAGATTTCATGGTGTAATATGTGGGGAAACATGATCGAAAACGCGATAGCAGTCGTCTTCAAAGCTCAGGCGTCTTTCCTGGCTGCCATGTGTAAACGAGGCGCATTCTTTGTATGCAGTTAATTATAGCTCTGGCAAAAAAATAAAAGAGGGTCACCGAAACGTGCTAAGAAAATGGCACTGTAAACTTAAGACGGGGGAGGGGGGAGGGTGGGGGGATTTAGGGTAAAAAAAAAAAAAAAAAAAAAAAAAAAGGAAAAATGAAAGAAAAATGAAGAAACCCAACGGAAAAGCAGAAAGCAAGGGAACAGTCGGTCAGCACGGCGTAACGCAGTGGGGGTTTATGGCGAGCCGGCGGCGGGGCCGAAGGGCAGCGCGGAGCGGGAGCAGCGCGGAGCGGGAGCAGGCCCCGGCGGGATGGGCGCCCCGCCGGCAGGCACTGGGAGGGGCGGCGCTGTCTGGCGCGGATGCGGGAAGCGGCCGCTGCCCCTCTGTGCCCCTCCGCAGGGCGAGGCAGTGTCTCTGTGCTGCCGCTCACCCTGCCAGGCCCGGCCTCCTGCCTTCCTGCTGCTCTCGGGCGAAGGGCTTTTGCTGCTGTCTGTCCGTGTGCGTGTGCCCGGGCCTTTCCCGCCTGCCCCGCCTTTCCTTGGGCTGCACGGGGGTCCCTAAGCCTTCGCGAGTTCCTAAAGGCGTGCGGCCCGGGCCGCGGGGCCCCTGCCCAGGCGAGGGTGTCATTGCGGGCACGGGGTCCGCCGGGGTGTTCGCATGCGGGGCAGCCGGCTGGTCAGCCAGACAAAGCCAGTTAACCGGCCTGGAGCCGTGGGGGTGGTGGAAGAACGGGGTGTGATGGGGAAGGAGTCTGAGATGCCTTTTATGTAACCACAAGGATTTTTTTGTCAATTCACATCAGACGGTCACACGTGGCTCTGGCTGGGCCTGTATTATATTTCACCTACGTTTTTCGTCTCTCTCCAAAATAGGGCGGACTCGAGCTCCTGAGGGCGTCTCTCCAAAAATCTGATTCCCACTGCAGGACGAAGCGGGAAAGAGAGGACTGGAGACGACGCTTCTTGGGGCACGGGGGCCAGCGGGGGTGGCCGGCCCGAGCGGGGGCAGCGCCGAGCCTGCTGGGCAGCGCTTTTCTTCCTTCCTTCCTCCCGGAGAACAGGCCTCACTTATTTCGGACCGAGTCCCCGAGCGGTGCTAACCGTTCACCCACACATTTTTATTTTTCCCCCCCTCCCTCTCTTTGCCTCGGTAATGACGTCCACCAAGGGTGAAATGATGGAAAGTATATTCATAGGCATGATTTCCATTAAGTATCAATTAACCTGGAGCCTCAGCCATGCGTGCAAGGCGTCAAGGGTAAATGTGCATCTCATTTCCCAGCGATCTGCTCGCCTGGAAGGAAATGACCCGGAGGGCCCGTTGGCAAGGGGGCCCTGCCGCTGCACGCTGCCGCCCTACGGGCACCCCACTGCCTTCGCCTACACCCAAAGACCCTGCGGTGGGCATGGGCTCCCTCTGAGGGGCTCTGCCCTTGCCGGCCGGCCGTGCAGGCCGCGCTCCGGATGAGCCGGGCGGCGTCGCCCCGGGCAGCGCGCCCGCGGTTATCGCGCGGGATCTGCGCGGCCGCCTCGCCCCTGCGCGGCGGGGGTTTCAGCGGCTCCTAGCGAGCGCACACCGGAGGGGGGAGCGGGGGTGCCGCGGCCGGGGTGGATCCGGGCAGGGCTGGGCCGAGTTTTTTTCTTGCCCGAGGAGCGGCACATGTAAACTGAAGCCAAAAGTCCCCCCTGAGCTCATGAGCGTGTGTGTGTGTGTGTGTGCGTGCGCGGGCTGCTGTGTGCCTAATAGGAAATAGTAAAAGCAGTGAGGCAGGTCATTTTGGGAGCGATTATAATCCAGTCCTGGTCACCACATACACGGAGAGCAGGAGCGGGGAGCGCACGGGCCAGCGGCGGCGGCGACATGAGCGCGGCGTAGAGGCACCGGCGGCGGCGGCGGCGGCGGCGGCGTGAGCAGCGCCCCGTGCCCCCGCCCGCCGCTGCCCCCTCCCCGATGAGCTCCTACTTTGTCAACCCGCTGTACTCCAAGTACAAGGTGGCGGCGGCCGCGGCGGCGGGGGAAGCCATCAATTCCCCGTACTACGACTGTCACTTCGCACCCGAGGTGAGCGGCCGACACGCCGCTGCCGCCGCCGCCGCTGCCGCCGCAGCTCTGCTCTACGGGAACGGCGCGGCCGCCGCCGGCTTCCCGCACCCCGCGCCCGGCGGGGCGGGGGGCGGCGGCGCGGCCGCGGACTTTTACCACCCGGCCGGGGGGAGCCCCACGGCCGCCTACCAGCCGCCTCCTCCTCCCCCCGCCGCGCCTCCGCCTCCTGCCCCCTGCAGCGGGGTTACCTGTCACGGGGAGCCCGCTAAATTTTACGGATACGATAACTTACAGAGACAGCAGATTTTTACGACACAGCAAGAGGCCGAGCTGGTACAATATCCTGACTGTAAATCGTCCAGTGCTAATATTGGCGAGGAACCAGACCACTTAAATCAGAGCTCGTCTCCTGCTCAAATGTTTCCCTGGATGAGACCACAAGGTTGGACGCAGTCAAAAATTTGCTTCCATCTCACGTCTGAGTTTGAAACTTTCTTTTCCTCCTCCTGCTTCTTTCTCGCTGACTCTCGCTCCCTGCCTCTGTCTCCCCCACTCCCTACCTCTCTCACCGCGATTCCTACACCGCGGTGGCTTGCGATAATAAAGAGATGCAGTGAGCAAGCAGAAACCTCTGCAGCAGGCAGCTACCAAGCCAGGAGTAGCCTTTGAGACGCCTCTCGGACTCTGAGGCGAGCTGACGCGCTCGCCTGTCTCCCGCCGCCGCTGCCTGAACGGGAAGGGTGCAGGGTCGGGCAGGGGGTGGTGTACGAGATGATAAAGTGACCCCGCAACATCCTATGCAGGGGACAGCTGAGGCGCTTCGTGCATTTACTGTCGCTGTGTTCCTCTCACTCGAGTGTCAAGCTCTAGACTCCTATGTGCCCTCTGCTTTCTCTCCCTGCGGGTCTGTGGGGCTTCTCTCGAGGGATTCCGGAGGGACAGGGAGTCCTCGCTGCCTGCCTGCGCCTTGTTTTGAAGGGCCACACCAACCTCCAAACCCCTATGTTTTTGTTTTAAACAGCAGCGCCGGGTAGGAGGAGAGGAAGACAAACATACAGCCGATTCCAGACTCTAGAGCTGGAAAAGGAGTTCCTATTTAACCCCTATCTGACCAGGAAGAGAAGGATCGAGGTGTCCCACGCACTAGGACTCACCGAGAGGCAGGTAAAGATCTGGTTTCAGAACAGGAGGATGAAATGGAAAAAAGAGAACAACAAGGACAAATTCCCCGCTTCCAGACAGGAGGGAAAGGAAGGGGAGGCCAAAAAGGAAGCACATGATCTGGAAGAAGACAGAGCTGAAGGCCAGACGAATTAATTTTTGCCCCAATTGTCTTTGTGAAAGTCAATCAAAAATAACCAGGGCTAAAGCCCGACATCTCGGCTCATCCACACCTCTACGTGATCTTGTCGTGGGACGAGTGACCCCATGTCCCTCCGTCTGACATTTCCCTGCTTTGGATGCTTCACTTGTTTGTGCTTTTATTTTGTTTATTAGCGTATTCAGAACGATCTCTAGATTTAACATTTCATCTACTTATTTTTTTCAAATTTGATACAGAGTTTCTAGCAATAAATTTCTAATGATATACATATATATATATATATATTTGCAATCTTAAAAGACGGTGATTGTGGGAAACGACATAAACTTCCTAATAATAAATATCAATAAGTAAGACATTTAACAATGCTTTATTAATCAAGACAAGTGCACTTGTGCTATTTTAATTCTTATTCTTATCTTATGTTGAATAAATTAAATAAATTTTATAATCTTGAAGAAAATATCATAGGAATATATTTAACCCTCTTCTATAATATTTGATTAAAATAAACCGAATTTATTCAATTACAAAATGTATGGGCATCTCTATATTCTTTTTGTAAGAAACCCTCAGGTTCTCCCCTGCGCCCTGCCCCGTCTCTCCTCCGATGCCGGGTGTTTCTGCGGGGTCTGGGAATGGCACGTCGCGTACAAAATCTGCTTTTTGCTGCCTGCCCCGAGCGCTGGGGAGCCGTGGTCCAAGCAGCGGCCAGCGGGGACTGCAGTCTCACCTGCGAGCGGAGCCCCGGGGTGTGCCTGGGCCTTGCTTTCGCCTTTTTCTGCCCCCAGCCCGGGCTGCGGGCCGGCCGTGCAGGGGACTGCCGGCAAACACGGCCCTTACCCTACGGAGCCATTTGCTGCCAGCCCGGCTGGAGGGACAGAGCCCGGAGAGCATTCCGGCCCCTCGCCATCCCCAAGGGCTGCTCCAAGAGCCTCGCAAACCACGGCCAAAACGGGCCCAGCCTCCCCCGAGGGTGGCTGGCAAGCAGAGAAATACAAAGCTTTTGCGACCTTGCGTTGGGGTTTCTCGAGGGCTGTAATTCTTAGGAGTCCCCAGCCATGCGTAGACCGAAGGAAATATGTTTCTACCCCTAAATATTATCATATGATGCGTTTCCCAGCAGAGGCCGCAGCTGGTGAGGACAGAGCCTGCCTCACGGTTCACGCAACCACGGGAGGAAAGGTCCGCTCTGATTAGCAAAACAATTTAATTTCTCTCTCCCTCTCCCCTCCCTCCTCTTGCTCCCGTTCCCGGCAGGGTCCCGGAGAGCGCGGTATCAAACCGGACGGCCGAGAGCAATCCTTTTTAGGAGTAGCAGGCAGAGGGTCGAGGGATGAGGTATAAATCTCTACCAAGATTTTTGCGTCATTTTTTTCCCTACCGGCTGACGCTCCCCTCAGTAATGGCTCCGTGAAGGAAATCGAATGGACGCGCCACAAACTGCGACAAACACGATATATAATCCTATTTTCTGCCCAGAAACGAGCGAGATCCCGACGAGGCCGGGGCTGAGCCGAGGCCTTGCTCGGAAAATCACAGCCAGGTTCCCGAGGCGATGCTGCCCGCCGCTGGGCCCTTCTCTCGCACCCACCGCTTCCCTCCCGACAATGCACCCGGCGCGGGGATGGAACTTGTAGGGAGGGTTTGGTTCATTTCGTTTCCCTTCCTCTTCCCCGCTCCCCACCACCGAGGCAGGCACGTTTCCACTGCTGCAAAGCGCCAGCTCTGGAGGGAGGCACGAGCAAGACGAGCTATTGTTCTTGGTTTTATTTTAATAGCTTAACTGGCTAAAGGTTGTAAACAAGGGGAAGCTGCAACGAAGCAGTGAAATAAACATTTTTGCTGCGTGGATTTGCATAAATACACCAGTATCCGTAGTGTCGAGGGAGGATGTGGGGCTGGTTGCTGCTCGTTTAAAGTAGCCCGGTGGCCTGACGCGCAAAACCCCCTGGCTTTTCAAAACAATACTCGTGCTAGTGGCACCGACATATTTGGTCTCCGGGCAGGAAAAGCCTCTCGCTTTGCTGCGCCGGCGGCGGAGGCTGGACTCAACACGGTTCCGGCGGCCCTGATGCGGGAAAGCCGTACTGGTGCCGCCCGCCGCCATCCCGGGCTGCCCGCTAGGCAAAGGCACGTCGAGGACCTTCACACATCAGCGGAGAACTCCTGAGGCTGGTGTTTGTCCGGAAAGGAGCTGCTGCGATAGTTGTTTTTAATTATCACACAAAGAATAAAATTAAAATATTCCTGAAGAAGTTTCCGTTGCGTTGCTCTCCTAGGACCGACTGGGAACGCAGCCATGCAGGCAAAAACTGACTTCCCTGAGCCCGCGTAATTGGCGAAGGCCTAGTGGTAACTGGAATCGCCCCTGTCTTACTCATTAAGAATAACAAAACATCGCTGTAGTTAAGGCATTTACCCCCGTAGCCTGGCATCTGAATGTCTCCCTCGGTCTCACTTGGAAACTTGCTAAGAAAAAAGATAACGGAGTCAGAAATTGACCCAGACGGCTACCGAGTCCCCTCTAAAACTGGAGCCATCGGACTTTTGGCAAGGAAAAGCCGTAGCTGCGCGGGTTGCGGCGGGAGCGGCGGCGAGAGGCCGCCTGAGACGGCCGCGGAGTGGATGCACCGCGCCTTTGGTTTCCGCGGAATTTCTCCGTTCTCTTGAGGAGCAGCTCAGCGCGGCCATGCGTGCTGCAGACACACCACGAGAGTTGCCATAGCCTCCGCCGAGGCAATATTCAAAGGTGTGCAACTGCCTGAAGCAGCGTTTTAAAAAGATCCAACCTCGATCCTACACCTTTAGTCGTGTTTACTTTTGTTAGCAGTTACAACCGGCACGGAGGTCACGGACTGAGGGCTCTGGCTATTCCCTGAAACAAAACTTGAGCAAGAAACATCCACAGTACTCCATCTCCGAGCCGAGTATTCCTTGCGGACACAGGCCCATTTTAATTATTTTTAGAATGCTTTCTAAGGAATCGGATTTTCCCTGTTGGTGCCCCGGGAAGGTTTTCCCGAGGGCGGAGGCAGCCTGCACTGGGCGCGGTGACAGTGCCCTGTGCAACCTGCGGGAACCGCACACTGCGGTGTGGGGAAGAGGCTCGGACCATTTTTATGTCGGTGACGGCTTCCGCTTCAGTAGTGGGCGCTAAAGCAGATGTGGTTTCTTTTAGTGCCCCGGGGAGAGGTGGGGAGGGGTGGGAGAAGAGGGTGGGGATGCGGGTTAAGCCCCCTTTCGTTTGGCAAGAAACAGATCCTTCGGCACAGTGCCCTGGCCCTCTTTATGTCGTTCCGCGACCGCTTGCCCCTCTCTCCGCGGCCCGCGCGGATCTCCCGCGTCCCGGCCGTGCTTGCGGGGCTCCGCCACCGCGCCCGTGGCGCGCAGGCCGGGGGCAGGCGGGACCGAAACCTCAGTAAAAGCGCAGCGCGCAGGCGAAAGAAACATGGCGCTGGGAAGCAGTATGTGCAAAATCCGCAAGGAATTGCAGTAAATTCCTTTTTGTTTGAAGAAAATTTACAACTTGGTAATAGACCTTTTTATGACCTATTTGGGCTCGTCATTGGCTGCGGCTGGTCATGTGCAGGCAGCGAGCGCTTTCATGGCCTTTTCCTGATTTCCCTGGCGAATTTCCCCCTGCATTCTGCCTTCAGAGAGCCTCAGCCCCTCTTTTTCTAACCTTTGTCTAGGCTGAGGTGTATGGCAGTCGCCCTCATGTTTGTGCCCCGCTCCCCCAAACCCGCGGCCGGTCCCGCCGCCGCTGCACTGACACTTCCCCGGTCCCGCGCCTCCTCCTCTCCCGCGCCCACGGAGGGATGCGCGGAGACCCGCGCCCGCCGCCGCGCCGCCTGCAGCCCCTCGTTCTTCTCCCACCCTTCGATGCCCCCGCTGCCGCTATCTCCTCCGGCACACGGATTGCTACGCGGGTGCAAAATGGATTACAGCGACCCTCCCGGGCTTCTCCGCAGGCGGGCAATGCCGCGAACCGGTAAGCACTCAGTTCCCCTCGGGCCGGTACCCCGCGATGTGCTGCACGGCACCGGCTCCCCTGTCCTCCTGTCCCTCTTCATCACCTGTCCCTCGAAAACCCATATTCTTCCTTTTAGTGTTGCTATTACTATTATTACCGCTACGATTGCTGTTGTTGTTATTGCTATTGTAATTATCGGTGCTGTTATTACTATTAACAGTGGTTGTGGGCATGCCGCAGAGTGAGAGCGGCTGTTGCGCGCGGTGTCTCACGGAAAAAGCGCCGCGGGCCACGATGTCTCGGTGTTCCGCCGTGAGGGGCGGAAGGCTGGGGCGCAGTGCGCGCAGGCAGTGCCTCGCCCGCCGGTCGGGTTCCTTCCGATATAAGGCCCTCTGTTTTCGGGATACGTTTTTCTCCCGGCAGCCTGAAGCGTGCTGTGGTGATGCTCTAGTTTGTTTCCCCCACGGCGGAAGGGCAGTCGAGTAACTTTAAAGCCTAACAGGTGTTTTCGCAGGAGAATCGGTGTCAGTGCTCCCGCGGGGGCGGAGGGCGCGGGGCGGCTCCGCCGAGCCGGTCGAGCCGGGGGCTGTGCCCGGGGCCAGTCCCGGGAGCCCTCGCCTGCCCCGCAGGGACTTTTTCTCACATCCTTGTCCCGCTGCAGCGCGGAGCCAGGGCTGCGGCTCCGCGCTGCTCGGTGGGCAGCGCACGGGCCGGGCTCGGCAGCCGGAACGCGGGGGCGGCTGCGCGGAGACACGGCCAGGAGCGCACGCCCGCAGTACGGCTACTTACCCACGTGGAAATCACCGGGGGCTAAATGGAGGACAAGCTCTCGGAAATAAACCCAACAACAAATCCTTGGGTTTATTGTAAAATATGCTGAGGAGATAGAATAGTTAACTATTCCTGCGTTACCCATACATCCATATTCACATTACCTATATACATACATATATATCGCATCTACACATCCATTTCTCTCTGTAGAACACATATGATATACATACTTTGGGAGTACGTTGTTGTGAACGTATATACGCTTTACTCATTTCATCTTCATTTTCAAACTGTGAGTGCACGGCGGAGAGCCCGCCGGTTGGTATTTAGCGTTCACATCGGTGCTCGGTGGTTGCAGTGCACCGTGCTGTTGCACTGCACGAACTTACCCACTCGCCATTTACCCCGAAAGCAGCCAGTTAATTAGCGGTAAAGCAGAACGCCTGGCTACACAACACACAGTGAGGGTGGAAAGGTGCCAGTCATGCCCCGAGTACATATTTTGAACCCACAGAAGAAGTTGTTCTTTATTCCACCCCCGAGCACCCCTCAGCCTGCTGAGCCCGAGCCCCACTGCAGTAAGCGATAAGATCCCTGTCCCCCACGCTTCGCCTGTTTGCACTAGCCGGCTGCCCTGCGCTCCTGCAGGGCTTGGGGATTATTTGGGACGAATCGTTTTCAACATAGCAACAGTCTTCAAGAG